CCTCCATCTCTGGCTTCCACAAAATACATAATTGAGGCTCCATTTTTCATATGTAGATGCCCCTGAGTGCATCCAGAGGCACAAAACAAATGCGTTTGGGGGCAGGACACCAGCTGGCTATACACCTTTATTTCAATATGCTCAAAGATAGCATTAGATTACGATATTACATCATAAACATATGCAGTATAGGTCAGTGGTTCTCAGCTGGTCTGTTATAACCTCGAAAAGTAAGGAAAGAACAATGCTAAATGCATATGATATAGCCTAGTGCATAAAATTACCATATTTTTTTGTTGCTGGCATTAAATTAAACTCCCAATTTAACTAGATGCCAACATGGATAGGTTGTGAAATTCAAAAATAAAGGGTGAAATGAGGAAAAGTATGGTTTGTGTTTGTATTTTGTACGGTGAAACTTAAGAAAAATATGTTTGACATTAAAGATTTTTGGTTGATTTGGCACAATAAACAATTTTGGCACAGCCACTACATCATACCCAATGTAAAATTTGGGTTTTGAAGCAAAACTAGTTGAGATGCACAGCTATAGGACAGTTTTCTGAGGTGGCACCAGGTGTAATAGGTGTTGCATGATCAGAGACAGAGAAAGTTCAATATAAGTGCATGAGAATAAAGTAAAATACACACTAGGGCTGCACGATAAATCGCATGCGATATTTAACGCGCATCTTATCAGTAAAGCCGGTTCTGTAATCAGCGGTAAATCTCCATCACGTGCGTGCTTTCACATTGAGCAGCATTAACTACACAGAGCCGTTGTTCACTGACGAGCTGCGCAAAACCACGTTCATATTCGCGCGATTTTTTGCGCACCTCGTCAGTGAACAACGGCTCTGTGTAGTTAATGCTGCTCAATGTGAAAGCACGCACGTGATGGAGATTTACCGCTGATTACAGAACCGGCTTTCTGACAAGATGCGCATTAAATATCGCATGCGATTTATTGTGCAGCCCTAATACACACAATACATTAAATGAATATATGCCACTGATAATTTCTATAAATATTTGGGAGTAAAATATTCATAATTCTGGAGTAAAACAGTCCAGATTTCGATTATCATAATATTTCAGTGCATTGTCAAGGGTTAAGCTCACCTCGTAAGATGTCTTGTGCTTGTTCCCCAGGTCAAATTTCCCCTTTAACTCATTGAGGAGCTGCTGCAGTGTGCTTCTCTCCTCTTTGACACTATAGTCTTGATCCAAAAGAATATAAGCCCTCCAGTTGGACGAGTCGAAGCCCCAGTGACAGGTTCTGTTCTCCAGCCTTTTATGACTGTGCACCACAAACTTGTGGGTAGGGAACATGAGCCTGCAGTCCAAGCACTGTATGCACGCCGCGTTGGGGCTCGTGTAGAGCTCTGGCACGAACAGGCCCTTGCACTTCCCGAAGCATTTGTGATAAACTTTAAAGCTCTTCTCCGTTCTTTCCAGCTCGATGGAGAACGACAACTCTTTGTCGGCGTGCGGTGGGAACGTTCCGCCGTAGATGAGGGCATTGCAGAGGCGCTCGGCGTCCGTCTGGGTGATGAGTCCGCATGAGGGTGCCGAGAAGGGCAGGACGCCCATAACTTTGAGGATCTCCAGCTGGTCCGCCGTGCACCTGGAGCAGTAGATGTGGAGGTCGTCGCACACCGAGTTGATCTGCTGGAGGGAAAAGTCTCGCAGGACGCTGTTAAGGATCTGAGGCAGGCAGAGGCGCTTTTCGCCGCCCACCACAAAGCACGAAATGGTCTCCCGCTCCAGGACCGTCTCGCACCTCTCGGTGGAGCGGTCGGACGGGATGAAGAGGGGCCCCGGCATGACCGGGGGCGTCTGCGCGGGGAGGTTCACCATTACCTCGGCGCTCTTACCGTCCTTCTTGAACAGCATGTCCTGCTGCCACCTGGCCGAGAAGGCTGCCGGTCCGCCGAGGGAGCTCATGGAACTCAAGTGAAACTGCTTGAGAGTTTGCTGAAGTCCTGGATGCGGCTGAAAGCTGGAAGCAGCCTCCATGTTTAAACCCGGGCAGTATGATCACAACAGATTCGGTGAATGTGAACGGAAAGAGTCGCAACAGTCCATGTCAGTTCGGAAAGCGTAAAACACCGCCTTGTAATCCATTCAACTGTTTCATGTTCAAATCCTAAATCGAACCAGAGTTCCGAGTGAGGACAAAATCCTCCTTAAAGTGTAAAGTTTTGAACGAAATGTAATTCTCAGTCCGCCGGTTTCACAGACCCGGTGCAACTCACGCGCAAAATGTGTGCCTTGTGTAAAGCTCGTCGGCGCAGTTGCCTCCGCCTTACTATGAGAGTATGCGAGCCTCTGTCTCTCTCTCCCTCTCTCTGTGTTTGTTTGTGTCTGGTTCAGTCATTGAATCCCGGCCAAGAAAGAATGTGACTGACTCCCCGGGCTGGCTGTTCCATGAACAGTTCTCCCTCCCCCCGTAGCCTGAGCAGCTGCAAATACGGGAACACAGACTACACGTAGAACCATTGCGGCGCAGCAGCGGGAGGAGGAGGTCGAGGAGAGGTGGAGTTTACTTACAGCGGCTATAGTAACTTTCATTAACAAACTTTAAAGGTAATAAACATTACATAAACTGCAAGAGCAGTAGTTTATGTAAATTTGAATATGAACGTATATGAATCAAAGTATCGTGAAACTAATGTAGCCTACATTAAATCTCAAAAGGGGTTTGTTTTGGGTTCCTGATTCCGCTTATTACAAGCTTATTAAACAATAGACCTATAACATAAGGAACACTGCACTATTAGGCCTATTAAAATATCACTATTATTAGTAGCAATAAGAATAAAATATTACAGATAGCCGTAGATTAAGTCTAATAATAGCCTACAACTAATAATCATGTTAAAGCCACAACTAATCATCGTTATTTAAAGTGTTTGCAACTCAATTTTTAAAAAATATAGCCTACATCGAATAGAAATTTACAATTAAAATTTTGTCTGAAAAGTACATACCTTTTGGGGTCAGTAAGATAGAAAATAACTAAGTTATTACTTAAGGACAGTAAAAACATTAATGTTGCAACAACAACAAAAAAGTCTAACAAATGCTGTTTTTTTTATAACTTTCTATTTATCAAAGAATCCTAAAAAAAAGTATGTTTCCACGAAAATATTAAGCAGGTTTTTAAGAAGAAATGTTACTCAAGCAGCAAATAAGCATATTAAAATGATTTCTGAAAGAAATGTGACACAGAACACTGGAGTAATGGCTGTTGAAAATTTATATTTGCCATCACAGGCGTAAATTACATTTTAAAAATATATTAAAATAGTAGTTATTTGTAATCATATTCAGTGTGATATTGCTTCTATCTCAAAATGTCATTATGACGAATGTTCTAAAATGTAAGATTACAGTTTAGTGAAGGGATAACTCATACTGATTTGTTTAGATTGGGTGATATGTAACAGCTTAATTTGTTTTTCATGGAACTTTGAAAAACAAGCATTTGTCTAATGGTTCATTTTGGCACATAACTGGGGTTGCTTGAAATTCAACCCTTAGTTCACAGTCACCGTTCTATGAAATCCTGGTTCTTGAAATTATTGACTATATGTTAAGCTCTTGGGGGGAACTCATGAATGCAGTTTGATTTGGCTTCAAATACCTGTCACAATACAGACCCCTAAGTTTGACTCCACACACAAGGTGATGTCTGAAATGAGAAAAAGTAAGTGAGAGTAGGTTGGGAAAATAGGCTAAATTTGATGATAAATGAAGAGGGGGAAAATGGTACAAAAAAGTTGTCATTGGCAGTGACACTACAATTACAATTTCAACTGGGAAAAGATAAATAATTGTTGTTTTAAAGGAATAATTCAAAAATGAAAACGTTTGTCATTCACTCACCTTCATGTCGTACATCGTACCACATCCACTCTGCTAAACTAGATACAAAGTCAAACGAGATGCATCATATTGAAAAGCTGTTAAAAGTTACAGCTGGAAAAGTGCAATCAAATTTGTCATTGACAGCAACTCAATGTTGTTTAGACGATTCTCAGCCACTAGGTGGCGCTACAAACCAGCACATTGTTTCTCACCTTAAAGAACCATAAAGATGAACAAAAACAGATTTAAATAATTTTATTATGTCCCACAAGAAATAAATAAAATACAGGTATTTTCTGCTTTAAAATTTGAATTGTATCAATTACACAATCTTATTCCTTTTGTCACAAGTAAATCTATAGCAAAGCCACACCTTTTACCAAGATTCTACACCCTAATGAAATGATTAAATGGAATTAAAACAAACTAAACAACAACTCAAAGGTGCTACCTGCAAAGGTTGGCTAACAATATATTTTTATAATTAAAAGTGGTCAATCTGCAGCATGATGGCTTGTTTGTCCCATCAAACTGCAGGTGGAATAGTTAGTCCATCTTTAAAATCTAATTTGCACTTCAGTAATTAAGTGTCGAGTTCCCCAAGAAACAAAAGTCCCCCAAGGTGCATTTCCATTTGTTATCCAAACCCTTCTATTTATATCACTTATTAGAATTTCATATTAATGCAGAGTTTGTTCTACAATAACATAAAATATTCCTATGAGTTTTGAGAATACTTTTAATTCCATTCTATTTCAATAAGTTTAAACGTTGCACTCTTAAAATACAGTGAACAATACATTTGGGAAAAAAAAGACAAAGTTGCAAACAAAACAGACAGTGACACAATGTTAACAAACACATACTGAAAAATGTATTACATTATTAGTTGGAGTGGTACTGAATAAATTAGTTAAGTAAATTAGTTGGAATTAAATCTTCTATTTTATAAATTAATTTACCATCCCTGCATTTTATGGCCACAACAGTACAATATCTGGTTCAATGTATTATATATTCAGAGTAAAAAATTAAGCAGAAAAACTAGAACATTCAGATGTAAAATAACATTTTAAAATCCTTTAAAAAAATGTTTTTGAAATTTTTTTATTAATTTTTTTATTTCCAAAAACAGTATTTGGCATTTCCAACATGGCAACCAAAGTTTGATGGGATTCTTCAGTTGTAATTTATTCTTTTATAATAATTTGTTTTGTTTTTATTTTTTGCAATGTACAGTGGAGTTCTTTGGAAGTAAACCGTGTAGTTCTTTGGAAGTTCAAAGAACCGTGTAGTTCTCGTTCTCTCTTTCTCTCTCTCTCTCAAGAGACAGGCTGTGGCATTCATATCCTTCCTCAGAGTTTTAAATAAAAAGTACAATACACTAGTCTAATCCATTCTTCAAATATAAAAAGTTCTGTTAAAAAACATTCAAGTAGGCTTTAGTGTTTTGTCCAAGAAGCACTGACAGCGTATCCTACTGAAGGTATCCTATTTCATAATTTGGCAGATTTTGAGATACATTTATAGCTCTAACTAAAATTTCTGTTTCCGCACAGATGAATCAACATTTTTCGAACAACCCACAGATGCAAACACTCAACAAAATCCATTGATCGAAATCATTACACTACTTCTGTGGGTAGTTGAGGGGGCTTGTCCTCATACTGTGGTGGTGGGGTCAGCGGTTCAATGGCCACCACCCCACTCTGTCCAGGGTTTTGGATATTCAAACGAATATCCTTCACGTGGAGTTTCTCAGACTTGATCCTGCGCACTCTGAGAGGTCTGAGGATGCGACTGGCCCTGCTGCTGCTTCGAGCAGGTGCCGCAGGCTGGGGTCCGGGGCCAGGAGCTGGCTGAGAGGCCTCTTGGCCATTACCTTCTCTAGGCTGTTGGGCTTCATTTTCAACGGCACCAATCAGATCCTCATACGAGGGCAGCTGGTAGCTCTGTCGCAAGTTGCTCTGCCGAACAGGGTACTGTCCACTGGTGACTGCCTCCTCATAGGTGGGGACATCATAGCTGGGTGCTGGTTCATCAGTTGATCTAATATTATATATACACATAGAGAAATTATGACATGAGTTGCATGCAGGTGAACATAATATTTGGTCAATATGCTAGGGATGCATGATATATTAAGAGATTTTTTTTTTTTGAGAGGGATTTTTTTGTTATTCATTTCAAATTTTTATTAATTTAGCAATATTGTGTGTGTAGGATCAGTAATTAAAATTTTTTTTTTTTTAAAGAATCTCACCAAGACTGCATTTATTGAATCAAAAATACATTAAAAACTCTAATATGCAATACCACCATTTCAAATAAATGTTTTCTATTTAAAAATATTTATTCCGGTGATGGCAAAGCTGAGATTTCAGCAGCCATTATAACATAACATTACTTATTATTATCAACGTTAAAAACAGTTGTGCTATGCTGCTTAATATTTCTATTTTATGATTCTTTGATGCATGAAAAGTAAAAATAAAAATTGAAACAAAATAACAAAAATAATCCTTGCTGGGAAAAAGCATCAATTACGTTAAAAGAAAAAAAAAAGGAAGGAAGGAAGAAAGAAAGATTATTTTCTCTAATTGTATACATCTCAGACTTTTATACTGTACATTATGCTGTTTTGATGCTTAAATTGGTTTGTAGCATTTAAATAACAGATTTTTAAAAACATTTTAATACTAATATCAGGGATTTATATGTTACTGGCCATGAAAATAATTATTAGCTTATCTTTATCAGCTTTAATATTTTTTTATGAGTTTTAATATCAGTGCATCCCTATACAAAAACCTGGACATTAACCCTTTCATCTTATCGTAACACCAGACAGAGAAAGTTTAATGAGTATAGAGCAGTACTCACTCCTCATCCTGATCTCTATGGACATTATCCACATAATCAGCACCGCCTGCACCTGTAGTTTCCCGTTGTCTCATTTGCTTCCTGTTCCTCACCCTGAGACATACAGCAAGGAGCAACATGGCAACACCAGCTCCAACCAGCACAAATGCAACAGAAGATGTTTTCCCTTCATCACCGCTGTCACTGCCGTTGTTCGTGTTTGTAGCATTGTGAAGCTGTGTCATTTCAGAAGGGACTATGCTCCACACGATCATGACAACACCGAGTGCCACTAGGCCCACCCCCAGTGCACAGAGAGCATACTGGGAGCCTGAGCTACTGCCCTCTCTATTGGTGGGTGAACGCCTGCTTCCTGAACACAGAGGCTGCCCACTGGAGCACATAGCTGTAAATGCTCCTCTTCAATACTCACGAGCATACACTTACACCCGGAAGAGTGGCCCAAATGTGGAGGATGAGAGTAGCACTGTGACACGAAAACAAAAAACAGACACAAACGTTATAAACATTTCAATGAGGAGGAAATACTTCCTGGAAATGACTGGGAATGGTGCCCAAGTATCAGAAGAAAAGGGTTTCTGTATTTCAGATCATTGGAGACAGATTCCACAACAAAAACGCCACTCTAGAGGTCAAACAGAAGCATTTAGCATGTCATGGAAAAGATTACCATGTATGGACATGATAAAACTTGCTACAAGTCTTCATAAAAATTTTAGTATTGTTTTTAAGTCATGCCAGACTCATATTTGACCTTATAATTTGTAATGCCGTAAGTCGATCTTCCGATGAAACGGCAAACTTCTCTCTGGTGACATACAGTGCCTTGCGAAAGTATTCATACCCCTTAATTTTTTTTCACATTTTGTTATGTTGCTGCCTTATGTTAAAATGCTTTAAATTAGTTTTTTCGCACATCAATCTACACTCCATACACCATAATGGCAAAGCAAAAAACAGGGTTTTAACATCTTTGCAAATTTGTTAAAAATAAAAAAACTTAAATGATTCCATTTCATAAGTATTCATATCTGGGACAGTTGAAATTTTGCTCAGTAGAAACAGGTTTGCGTCAAGCCACACATCTGGGGAAGAGTTCAGAAAAAAATTCTGCTGCATTGAAGGTCACAGAAGTATGTAGTCTCCATTACTCTAAGTGGAAGAAGTTTGAAACAACCAGGACTCTTCCTTGAGCTGGCCTCCTGGCCAAACTGAGCAACCGATGGAGAAGGGCTTTGGTTAGACTGGTGACCAAGAACCTGATGGTCACTCTAGTTGAGCTCTATGATCATATGTGGAGATAGGAGAAACCTACAGAAGGTCAAACATCACTGCAACACCTCCACCGATCTGGTCTTTATGGCGGTGTGGCCAAACTCAATCCTCTCCTTAGAGACACATGAAAACACACTTGGAATTTGCAAAAAAAGCACCTAAAGAAACCTCAAATTGTGAGAAACAAGATTCTCTGGTCTGATGAATCACAATTCCAAGCATCATGTTTGAAGGAAACCAGGCACTGCTCATCACCTGCAGAGTAGCATGCCAAAAGTAAAGTGTGCTGGTAGCAGCCTCATGCTGAGGGGCTGTTTTTCAGTGGCAGGGACTGAGGGAGTCATCAGAGCAGAATGAAAGCTCAATGCACCAAAATATTGAGATAGCCTTATTAAAAACCCAGTCCAGAGCATTCAGAACCTCAGACTGGGCAGAAGGTTCACCTTCCAACAGGACAATGACCCTAAGCACACAGCAAAAGTGGCTTATAGACAACTCTATGAATGTCCTTGAGTGGCCCAGCCTGGGCTTGAACCCAAACAAAAATTTCTGGAGAAACCTAAAAATGTGCGTCTGCCCCCATCCAACCTGACAGAACTTAAGAGGTGAAGAGGTGAGGAGAATAATGGCAGATAATTGCCAAATGCTGATGTGCAAAGTTTGTCGCATCATACCAAAGACTGTAAAGGTGCTTCAACTAAGTACTGAGTTAAGGGTATGAATACTTGTGCAATGTACTTATTTCAGTTTTTTTATTTTGAATAAATTTATGAAGATTTGACTCATACCAAAGACTGTAAAGGTGCTTCAACTAAGTACTGAGTTAAGGGTATGAATACTTGTGCAATGTACTTATTTCAGTTTTTTTATTTTGAATAAATTTATGAAGATTTGACAATTCTGTTTTTGCTTTGTCATTATGGTGTGTGGAGTGTAGATTGTTGTAGGAAAAAAAAAGAAATTTAAAGTAGTTTAACATAAGGCAGCAACATAACAAAACTTGAAAAAAATTAAGGGGTATGAATACTTTGGCAAGGCACTGTATGCTGGACTTGTCCAATTATTTAGTCCACTACAACCTCGCCCACCCCTTTCATCTGTTATGAGCCCTTACACTGATCACAGGTCATGATGGTCGTAAAATGCAGTTTCAGAATTTCATATTGTTTCTTGAGGTTACTTTATAAAGTTTGTAACATTTTTTGCAACAAAAAGGTCTCTCTCTATTTAACTAACAGCAGTATTGCTCTTGTGATTGATGGACAGACATGAACACACCTCCTCGTGTTAAGGGGAAATCATGACATCACGATACTTCTGATTTCAAATCTGGCGTTTCAGAAGGGTAGAAAAGAATAATTCATATTTTAAACTGGGGAGTTAGCTCTGAGTTTTGAAATTTGCAATATGTTTTAATTGCAGAGTAACCTCTTATATGTGTAAATATAAAGTACATTTTGATTCTCCATTTTATTACCACTTTAAACAAAATTACTATAATAAAGTCTAATAATTTTTCTGAGAAAATGGTGTTTTGTACTATAAAAATGATATTGAAAATGGCATAAATATGGTCTAAATGGAAGTACAGTGATTTGCATTTACGAGTAAGTCACTTTCTTTGATACAAAAGGAAGGTGTCAATCAAAGAATTATAGTTAACATTATTTTGAACGTTGAATGTAAAAATCAGTTTGTAGGCATTTTGTGCACTGTTCATGAACAACCATAAAGCCTGGCAGAAAATACAGTGCAACTCATTTAGCCAGTTTATGAGTCAACAAGGCTTGTGCAACAAGATGTTTCCCATCATTCTGTACACGTAACAGTACAAAAATAATAAAAAACACAGATAAAGCATCAACTACACAACCGATGGACATATATTTATCTTCTTTTTGTTGCACAAGCACTAAAAAGCTTCTTGTTTTCGTCAGGATGTGATAAAAAGAGAAAGAAACAAGAAATTGCAGGCAAAAAACAAAATTATGATTTCTGAACTCCTCAAATGACAGCATCATTATTACATACTTTCAATGTTATAAAATAAGTGCATTAAAGATAATATTTACAAACACTTCCATAATCGTTCCCACATCCATATTCACTTTCATAACATAACAACAAAAGCTTTCAACAAAATGTCAAAAAACTAAAGTAAAGGTTAAGACCCATCAGAAAGACACTGGTTTCAAGCAATGAAAAAATAAATCACCTAAAACTGATCCAGTGCACAGAGGTTAGGCTGCTGCCGTACACTAACTGTTGCCATAACAACACAGCATTGTTCACTTGTGAATGTGGGCACTTCACTGTGCTCAGAATGAAAATGGGGAAGGGGTGTCATTTTAGGTAAAAGCTACTCTAAATTCACATTAAAACTGGGCAAACAGCCTCATCTATTAGCAAAACCAAATTCCCTGTAGGTGAATTCATTTTATCCTTGCAAAATGCTCACAATTTTTAGTATATTTATACAAGACGTTCTCTTAAAATATTTCCCTGTTACAACATGTAAATACTTCTGTAAATGTTTTTGTAAATGTGCAATGTTAGGCGGCTGTAGATATGCACGTTTTATCTTAAGATGACATTTGGAGTGGTTTTTATGAACGTTTTACATTATGTGTTCAGGTAGACCACTAAAAAAGACATCACAATTGCAGGCTTTGTGGGACCTTTCAGAATGACTCATCTGCCTGTGGGTGTCATTTATTTGAAGGGGAAGAGTAAACCGTCAAATATAATATCGATTTACAACAAGTGGCTTGAGGAAAAAAGAAATCAAGGATTCTGTTATTCATATTTTGAGCGGAATGAGGAATGCAGATGGAAAGAGAGCAATAGTCTGTGTAGAAACAAAGTGTATAGTTGGAGAAAGCCTTACATGTTTAGGGGCACTAATATAACACGTTTTTCACAGAACAAGACATGACAAGCACTGCAAAATGCACACACTAAATGTAAAAGCCTGCATTTGTTTCTCAAGACTAGCAGGAAGAGTCTTATTCAAATGGATTTTTAATTCATCCTCAGGAAAGAGATGCTATGAGAAAATTACTTCTTTTTTTTTTTTTTTGCACAATTCTCATCTTAAATGAAAGCAATACATTAATCACATGCAGATTTGGGTACGTGACACGTCTACAAAGGAGTCCATGAGAGCAAAGAACATTAAATTCTGGTCAAAACAAAAGAAACATAAAATAGGGAAATATGACAAAAGACCAGGAAGGCCTGTCCAAATACACAGAGTAACTCTTGCTCCCTATCCTGAAGTAAACAGACACTGGACCACAGGTCACTAAATACCCCATCTAAACATGCACCCCATGACCTTATCTGAGCTTATCTTAACTTATTCTTACAGAATACAAGGCAGGATTGTTACATAATTCAATAAAATGAACTGGTTGCATTTGTATCTTGTCTAGAGTACAAATTATGTTCTTATAACACTGGTTATACAAACTAAATACAATTAGTTTGTAACTATGGGTAAAATAAGGCCAGTCACACTCATTTATACTCATACTCCAATCGTCATAATAGATAACTTAAAATAAAAGTGATTAGACGGACTTAGCATTTAAATCTTGTGACTGAAATATGTCCCGAGAGCCTTATTCTTGATATACTCCCTCCATATCGAATTATGAAACAGAACAACATATTTTTGGAGTAATTAGGGTTGTGGCCTTGAAGTGAATTACAAAGATGAGATTTAAACCAAAACCTCCACTAATTCAAAGATGGAGAGAAACCTATGGAAACCTAACAGATGGAGAAAGCAAAACATGAGGTTAGAAACCAATCTTTTAGTTTGAAATTGATGATGACTATATTTATTTATTTATTTATTTAAATTAATGAGCTTTAATAGTGATGTATAATTATTTAAAGTGGTTTCAAAAAATAATATAAAACGGTTTACAGATGTATGTTGTTTTATTAAAAAAATTTTGTTGTGTAATTTGTTCCATTTTAATTTGCATGTTAGGATTATATTAGATTGTCTTGTTTTAATGTAAAATAAGATGAAAAAAAATTAAACATATTTGACAGTGTAATCCGTGGTCAACTTAAATATACTTTAAAACGAAGCGTTTGAGAGAGGCGGGGCATAGAGGACTTACAATAATGTACAGTATTTGAAAAATAATGTGTTTTTTGAACATTAAAGCATGTCAACATATTCTGTTACACCAAATACACAAAATAATGATCTTTAAAAAAGCATCATATGACCCCTTTAATACTGATACAAGCAGACATTATGGTTACCATGGTAACCATCGTACCTTTAGTTACCATAGATACGAATAAGCCAAAGTAGCATACTACTATTGTTACTGTGGAAACCACATCACAAATGAAATTTTTAAAAATTGTGATTCTGTAAGTTTCTTACACTGTTTGGCAGAGATACCATTATAATTTATGATGATTCCTATTTAACAATAAGTAGTCATCTTGGAAATTTGCCGGTTACCATGGTAAACCTTTATAAGGGCAACCCTAGCAGATCGTATTTCTGCCGTTTTCCAGCGTCATTTGTTTACAGTACAAACCACCCTGGGAAAATGAAAGACCTTAAAGATTTTGTTTTAAAGATTAAAATGACTGACCAACTGGAAACAGGCCAATTGTAGACAATATACTATAGTTTAACTCAAACTATATTACTATTAGTTTAAAAAAACGATGACATCAGATAAAACATGAATAATTGATGTATGAATGTCATCTTACTGACATGAAATATCACGAGGAAGATTCTGGCTATCATTCACGATATTTGTAAAGTAAGTTATTTGAAACAATAAAAGAAACTTTGTAACAGTGACATCCTAAAGACTCTCCGGTGTTACTTTCTGTAAGCTAAGTCAGACATCTTAACGATGCCGCATAACGCCAAACGTGACAAAAAAACAAGGTGAAACTAAAGTTTATGGCCTAACCTAAGTTCCGCGGAGGTTCAACGCCCTTCGCTCCTTGTGTCATGAAAGTACCTGAGGCAGGTGTCGCTCCCAGCCGCAGGTGAAACGAACGTCCTCAGGATCCTTTCATTCGCTTAAGGAAGGAAAAGCTGAATGAATACTATAACTCCAGTCCCACTCTCTCTGCTTCGAAACTTTGTGGGCTTAAACAGAGACAGGAACTTTGTTCAAAATCAAGTCGAGTGCTACACCTCATTTGTAAAGAGTTGAGTAGGACGCTTGGTCCTAAAGCGAGTCGTATTTCATAGAGAAATAAAACAGCTGACCATGGTCCTACAAGCCGGGAAAAAAAGGGTTTCCTTGGGAATTACCTAGAGGTTTTTACAATAGCAGTTTCGGTGTGTGTGTGTGTAGGCTATAAGAAGTCACTTATGCTCACCAAGGATCAATTCATTCAATAAAAATTAAATATAAACAGTATTATTGTGAAGCACAGTATTCTTACAATTTAAAATAACTGCTTTTTAATTTGATTTTAATGTCATTTATTCATGTGATGGCAAAGCAGCCATTACTCCAGTCTTCAGTGTCACACATGATTTTATCAATATTAAAATGTTGTTTCTGTGCTGCTTAATATTTTTGCGAAAACGTTAATAATTGTTCAGGATCCTTTGATGAACAGAAAGTTCATAAGAACAACATTTATTTGAAATAGAAATATTTTTTAATATAAATGCTTTTACTGTCATGCTTGATCAATTTAATGCATCCAAGTATTCATTTTTTATAATTAATTAAAATTAAGTATTAATTTCTTAAAATCTTACTGACCCCAAACTTATGAACAACAGTGTATAATATATAAAACTAAACCAATAATCAAACACAAACCAACACTCAAATACATGTATGAAGAGTTTTATTTTTTTATACAGATTATTGTGTCAATGACACATGGTATGTATCTATGTACAAATGTTTCTCAAAAGTACAGTTTCACTAATGCCACAAGATACAGTGATATCAAAATGATTAGTGATTGCAAAACACACCGTAACTGTCTTGAGCTGTGCATCCCCTAGCGCTGGTATACTGTGCAACTGACGTCACACTGTCTATCAAGAGACAATCTGAGTCAAACCCAGCAGGAAATCTGTGATTCATAGTTGCAATTCCTGACCAGATCTTAAACAAGATCTGAAAATAAGATATTAATCATCGAATCGTGTTATCTAACCTGCTGTGTGGACCCAATGACAGAGGCTATTTGCATAAAAGGCCAATGCTGTTGCTCAGTAGCTGTATAACTTGTTTTGCTCTCATTGCCCTGTGGCTTCATGTGGAAAAACACAGCTGTAGAGTATGCCATGCATGTGCTGCATTGGCTTGTAGAATGTATACTGCATTTTACCTTTCCATACATTCTTCTGGGAACCCTGCTTTTGACAGAAAATGATTCTCTGACTCCTTAAAGAGAGGATTAAAGGCTTTCCAACCAGATCACGCTTTCATTTCCTTATTGTGCAATGCATTTATATACATATATATTCCATTGAACTAACTGAACTGCATGCATGGTAAGACAGAGATGTTAAAAATCACAAACAGGGAATAAAAGAATAAAAAAAAAATTTTTTTCTTTCGTTCCCCTAAAGTTTTTTTTTTAATGTGGGAAAACTCATTTCAATTAAACTGGAGTGATCCTTATGAGACTAATCTATTATCCACACTACTTTGCTACTAAAGTGGTGGTTGCTTTTAATTTTATATGCAAATGAGGCTTGTGAAAACACAAACATCTTAGCAGATGGCAACAGATGTATTAAAACAAAGAAAAGACGTCACTGGGGCATTCAGTTGTTTTCACAATATATTCACAGCTCTATTCCTCATTCCAGCATTTTCTGTAACCTTAAACAAGCACAGTGTTGTGATGACCTTGATAGAGGGAATGGACATCTGGACATGTGGTATTGATTTTTAGCTGCATACCTACAGTTCTGACTGAAATTTACAGGAATCAGGACAAGTTCATCTATGTATTATGTTAGTAACAAAATATTTGCTTTTTAATACAGCATGTCTATAAAATGTCTAATTAAGTGCCAATACAAAATTCTCGAAAGTGCAAATGGTCAATTCTCAAACCTCTTTTACAAATAACTGAGCTCATTTGGTCCATTTAGAGGTTAGGGGAGATTCATCCTTCCTAAATCTTCCAAGGCAAACACAAACCATTGCCCTCAGACATTAGTGATCTCTATGCTTGAGTAACCGTGCATGGGACTGCCCTTGGTTCTCTGCAGGATCTTGATGCGATCTTCTCTGGGTGGTGATCCACAGCCGCCTTGAAAAGTCAAGTCTCCCCCAACAGTGACCAGTGGATTGAATCTCAAAGGGCTCTGTGGAATGACAGAAATATTATTTAATCCTTTTACAGATCATTAACAATAACATGTAGGTGCACAGACAAAGTTGGTCAACAACAGGACAGCCCATACCTTGCCAACTTTTTGCCTGGGAGAAAATCCTTCCTCAGTTTTGCGGCAGTTTGAGACAGGAGAATGTGTAGGAGTCCCCTCTTTCCTGTAGTCCTGAGCCTGGTTAGTTCTGTAAGACAGAAATACTGCTCAGTCACACTCGTAAAGTCAATACAGTTACTGTTATTCTGCAGAGATTATTAATCACCAAATAGATAAATACAGGTAAATGAAATGCTGATTTGAGTTGAAGTTTAGTAATGTATATTAAATATAAAAAATTATTTTACAAAGCTCATCGGTCTGAAAAGCGAGGTGTGCTGTGATTGGCCAGCTATCCAGTGCGTTGTTATTAGCAGAATACCTCAATCGTGTGACGGAAATGTTATGCCCCTTACCATACTGTGATGCCGTGTCCCGGTGCGACGAGACAAAAACAATAAAACCCATTATAAACAAGGCATTTGTTGCATCCAGTGGGGACATCATTACTGATTATAATGACTTATACTGTCTTTTTACGCGTTGCATTGCATCGCGCCACGTAAACATAAAACCATGTCTGCATTTGTGATCGGAGAAATGACAAACAACAAGCGCTACTCTACACTGCTCAAAACTCGCGTTTGAATCGTCAGTGGCGAGTCAGCATCATTTGTCAGCATTATAGACTGTATAGGTCCAAAGAGATAGGAAAACTTGAAATCGCATCATATGACCCCTTTAACAAATCTACATAAGCGTAAATAAAACCTACCAATAATTAAAATATTATTACACAAAAATCCAACCTCTTTGTTTTGCATAAAAAGACCAAATTTAAAAATGTGATATTCAAAAGCAAACATTCTTTGTAACTAACCGCTCATATTATTTTATTTTGTGTCTCAAAGGTGCTTAAAAATATTACATACTGTAGAAAAGATGTTCTTGGTTCAATATCTATTTGACAAAGCGTACAAACACGAGTGATGTGAAAGTAGCGCCGGTCTTTTTTGGAGGAGCGGACTGATATTCACGGACGACCACTGGGCGGTGCTATTGACCAATCAGAATCGAGCATTTCGAAGTGCCGCGTAAATTGCTCTTTGAAGTTTGAAATGAGTGGTATAACGATAAATAAATTTAAAAGTGTTTTAAGTTTGACGACTATTGCTCTAATAACTATCATTTGCAATACAGCTTTTTAAATATACTGCTGGACTTTGTACAAACACGAGAGATGTGAAATTACAAACACGAGACATGGCAACGCTGTATATCAGTCCGCTCATCCGAAAAAGACCGCTTTCTCGGATGAGCGGACTGATATACAGCGTTGCCAAGGATGACGGCGATCGCTGGATGGCACGATTGGCCAATCAGAATCGAGTATCCTGGAGTGCCTGGAAGAGTTTAAAGGCTACTTTGATGGTTGACGACTACTAGTGCTCTAACTAGGTTATTACTTGCAGTTTAGATTGTCATATACTGCGGGACTATAAAATACTTATGACTCTACTGAAATGAAGCTTCACACACCTTGCTGGGTTGAGAAGCACTTTCATTTCCTCGTATAGATGACGATGGATCATGTGTTTATTGCTGGTGATGTCTAGAGCCTTGGCCATGGTGTCAGCGCTGAAGGTCGGATCTAGAACCATCACTGCACCATGGATGCCGCTGTTCTGAAGGCTGTCAGCATATTCCTGCATAAAAGACAACATTCAACAGGTTGGGCATTTTATCAGATATGTTTATGACATTTATATACTGAATATGAGAACGCTGAATATTCCACATACACTGCTGTTGAAAAGTTTTTCTGAAATAACCTTTTTTTTATTCAACAAGGACATTAAATTGATCAAAATTGAAAAAAAAAAAACGTTTAAATTGTTACAAAAAAACTTGAAAAAAAAGTTAAGCAGCACAACTAATTGTTGGCGTAATGTCTGTTGAAAATTCAGCTTTGCCATCTCAGGAATGAATTACGTTTTAAAATATATAATAATAGAAAACAATTATTTTAAATGGTATTAGTGTTACACATCTTACCATATTTTTTATTATTTTATTATTATATAATTTTGATTAAATAAATGCTGTCTTGGTTGGCATTAGAGACTTCTTTCAAAACATTAAAAAATCTTACTGACCCCAAACTTTTGAATGGTAGCGTAAATTGTATGAACTTTGTATTACCTTAAGATCAATGTCTCTGATCCATTTAATGACACGGTGGCTGGTCCAGACCACCGGATCCAGATCTCGATTTTCACACTGAGCACGACGTGCCTGTATAGTCTGCAGAGACATTATGATATTTTACAATATCACCAACAACTCCTTCACATTTTATATTTTCAGAGTGGATGCAACAGTGTATACAAAAAATTCTCGCCTCTTTGTCAAAGTTGAGCATTTGCAGAAGCTGAATGGCTGACAGGATGCTGGTAACATGAAACTTGTTGGTGACATTAAAGATGGTCTCCAGGTCTCTCCTTGTGATAGAGTTCAGTACTCTGCCATCCACTAACTGGTTGTGGAAGACCTGTGAGTACTGTGGAAGCCCGACATCACTCAGCCAGGTCTTAGACACCCAGTGATGATCCATATCAGCAGCTTTCGAAAGCCTGAGGGTCACAAATGTAACACAAAACCAATGCCAAAGCACTATAATATGCGCCACCTGTGTGTTTGTGTGGCCGCTCACCCTCGTCCATTCTCTGCTTCTCGGTAGTCCTCAATAGCTAAACGGAGCTTCCTGCGGTGCATGGGGCTGTTGATGCCCAAACCCAGCTGCAGGTCCTCATCGGTCAACCCCAGCA